TTGCATGGTTTTGCAATTCCAACGTGGGAATTGATTCAAACGGAGAGTCTACAACCGCGATCCGTGTGTCAAGAGTCGATCCTAGGCTACATGTCAAGGAAGACATGCGCCACCTTGCTTTGGTTGGGGAAGAAGATGCTCATGTGTAAGGGTGGTGTCACACCTGACTTCGCAGGTCACCACCTGCGACTTGTAAGTCCAGCAAAAGCCTCCAGAGGAGACCTGTTGGAGGGATATTTGTTTTTCAGTATATATGATTGTATATGAATATTTTATATATATATATATATACTGGTATGTATATGATTGTATATGTTGATATATGATGTGTAATTAGCACAATAATACTTAACAATTAAGAAACTCACATTTTGGAGCTTCTCAATACCTCTCATACAGAGACAACGCCCGCTCGACCGACTCATCGCCGCAAATTCAGCCAACTCTCCAAGGCCACCCATCTCGGAGGTGGGCCGACGTCGACCGTTTCCTCCGCACGTCAATGTTTCCAACCCAAACATGTCATGGGACCGGAATATTGGGCGATCAGTTGGAGTGGTTGAAAAGGAGTCAATGTAGGCATGGTTTTTTTCCATGACATGGAGTGTTTGGTAAGGCAAAAGTCGTTGTGGTGTGCTGCTTTGGATTGCTGGTCGGGTTCAGCATTTGGAGTGCTGGTGTTTTTTATTTTAGAGACGGCCCTAATGATTTCGTTTTATGTGACGAACGTGTGGGTGTGTCTTAGAATATGGAGACCCCCTTGGTTTCTCTTGGTGAAGGGACACATCAACTGAAACCCCACGGGGCCAGGGCTGCGCTCTCTATTAGCACACCCATACCTTTGGACTCTGTTTAGTGCCCTCTGGGCTTGTTTTTAGGCAGTCGCACACTGCATCTCTCGCCTGGTCTTAGATGGTCTTAGAGTCTTACAGACGGGGTTTTGAGAGCCCTTCCTGCACAGCGCTTGCGCGCCTCCAGGTGCACTACAACTACGTAGGAGGCCCTCCCACTGCGCTGTGGAGGTGGGAGGGGCGTGTACACGCGCCGCGTGTTCCGGTGGAGTCTTGCAGTTTAGTTTGGATGGGACGCGCCAAGCTGGTAGTTGGTTCAGGTTAATGGACCGCTTTTAAAATCAACAGCGGACTCCGCCCCCCCCAATGCCCCTAAATAGTCTTAACCCCCCAATTCCATCCAATTCCCCAATCCTGGAGACATTCCTGCAAATGATGAAAGGGATTTGTAAGTGGAGAGGATTTTTCCTGGAACGGATATGAAAGGGGATGAGTATTGTGAGGAGATTCGAGATTCCTGGAATTGAGATGAAAGGAATTCAGAAGGAACCGAAGATCTAGTCTAGTAAAGAAAAGAACGGCCCAACACTAAATAAAGCTAATAGATGCTAATAGATTCTTTTTTTGCAGCCAGCATTTAGTATGGTGGTTTCATGGGGTACCCTTTCCTTGTCAGAAGGTTTTGGGTTTTGGTCGAGGTTTTGAAATGAATAACATATTCAAGAAGGAACCAAAGAGCAAATTCCTGCAATTTCCAGTGGCAGGCCAGGCAATTAACAATGAATATGACAATGATTCAATCCCAAGCACACAATGGAGATAAGCAAAGATGGAGGGGGGCTACGTTCAGCTTTATTTGCGGTAGTTTTTAAATCATTTGGGAATTGTTTACTGTAGCATACTGTAGCTTTCTTTATACAGGAGTGGGTATTGGTTTGTTGATTCAAAGTGGACATGATATATTCCTTTCAGTGTGGTTTGGTAAGGAGTTTTGGAGTAAGGGTCAGGCTGCTAGCTCACCCCGTACTGAAGGAAGCAATTCTCCACGCTTCAACATTAAGTTGCGGAAGAGATGTTGCACATGTGCTTCTGGCTTCTCATGTGGTTCAACAGATTTAAGCTTCCTGCAATACATCTGTGGACCCCCTGCGACCCCCACCCCCTTCAACTGATTTAAGCGCCTCCCAGCCACCGCCATCGGAGAATGGTCGAGTTGGTCACCGATCTCCTCACCGATCACCTCCGGTCCGGGCGGCTGTCCCGGCGGTCCCGGGTTCACCAGGCTCAGGGTTTGACCTGTGTTGGGACTGCAATCAACCACACACTCAGTGGATGGCATTTGATGGCATATTTACATTTACATGACATGGGGTGGTTTGAGAGGTGAAGTTTCTCGGCAAATATTCCATACATGGAGTGTGTGGGGAAGTTATCCACCCCAAAAAGACACCTTTTCAATCAACAGCCCCCTGGCCAACTCCGCGAGTCGCTCCGCTCGACACGGATCGAGGAGCGACTACCGTGCCAACCTGCAGGCATACGCGCCTCGGTCGTTGACCCAACAGCCGCTTAGAAAGGGGCTGTTGCTCCTTTCTTCCCAATTGGGGTGACCGGGGGGTGTACCCAAACGGCCGGTCATACCGATGACTCAGTGAGTGCATTTCTTTGCCCTCGAGCCCAGCCCTAGGGACAAATGAACATGATCATCTTCCAACAGGAGAACTGTTTCCCTCAGGCGTTTTGGGATTGTAGATGATTTTCAGCGAATCCCCAGTAAACTCAAAGCAGGTGGAACTCCTTCATGTACATACTATATACAATTATCTATCTATATATAATATGAATAGATAGTTGAATAGATGTATACATGCATATACGTAGCAATCTCCAACAACTTGAAGCTCGAACGTTGGACTTTGGACATCCTGACTTCTCTTTGCAGGGACCCCTTTGGGGGTCAGTCGTGTGTAATCAAACACCAGAACAGCCTGCGGGACTGAGGTGCATTCCGTCACTGCGAACCAGAGGATGGCGCAGCCCAATCCTTTGGCCTCCCGGCGCATGGTCCAGGGCCGACCTGTCAATTCCTCAATGGTTGGTGGTTTCAGGTCATTGGTGCTTCGACCTTTGCACCTATAGTAGCATTTGGTACTGTACCTGGGATGCCAATGACTCAGCCTTCAGTGGAGACCCCTCGCGCCCAACGCGCCCGACGCTCTTGGTGTCGGGCTTGCGGACTCCAATCCTGGAAATACATGTAAACTGTTACCAGTCCTTGAGTCCTTGGTGCCACCAAGTTCATCCAATTTCTAGATACGGTACATGCAAATATAATGTACACACCCATTGACCACTATTTTTGCCCACCCCAACCAGTCTCGCTCACCCCATTTTACTTGTACACCCCCCTTCTGCCGCTGAATTGCCTTCTCGCGGGAACGTCCCCCGTCAGGCGGTGGTGAGTTCTCCGATCTCGCTCTTCCCCGGCGTGGTGGGGCACCCGGCCCGGGCGCCCTGGGAGCGCGGGTGATGTTAGACGATCCGGGGGAGAGACGAAGGGTGCAGCGATAGGTTCAGGTCTTGAAGGGTGTTCAGGGTGGGTTTGGATCAGTCTCTACAATCATTCTACCATCTCAGCATGCTGGATTGGATTTGCCAAGCTAGGCCAGGCTTATTTGGTTACTGTATTATATAAGTTAGTATAGTCGATTGCTTTGCTCAGGGACTTTTGGGAGGTTGTTCATTTGTGCTAGTGCTAGTTATTTTGAGATCTCATGCCCAGGACATGTGAGCCGGAGAGTTGCCTGAGCACCAACATGCAGTTCTTCCTTGTGGCATGTCTTGATGGGCTGAACCACACCAAAGCACAGGTGTTCAAAAAAGAACGCAGATGTTTTGGGATGTTGCGAAAGACAGATGCAGGTTACAACAAGTGCTGTTGCAGACCCCCTTTCTTGTGCACTTGTCCAAAAGGTTCATAATGAGACTTCACCATGCCGCAACTGTCCTCTGGCGATGCCGGAAAAAAGCTGACGGAACGGCTGAGATTTCCAGCCTGGATCCGTCAGCTGTGAGACATCAAATCAGGCGGCTCAACGTAGCCCCCTACTCCGCCATGTACATTTAGTCGCTTGCGATCTCCTTCCGCAGGGATGAACCCCAGAGGTGCAATGCACGAAATTGCCTGGTAGACACTTCCGTTCATGATTGTTGGGGGGAGCTTTAACTGTTATTGAAAGATGTTGAACGATCTCCTGCACAGCCGCAAGGATAAATCATGACCCGGCCGTGGTAATTGTAGAACATTTCCTAGTTTCTCTTTGGTATATGCATCAGGTCTTCTACCCTCAACACTATAGAGCTCTCCTTGCTTCCACTTACAGGCACATGTGTTTTCCGAATGCACCCGTCCGTTCTGATTCCCTGGCTGTTAATGACAGACCTCCGATTTCTGGGAGACTGGTCCATCGATCTCCCCCAGGTTTGCAAAATGCAAGCTGGACGGGAAAGACTGGGACATCTGCTGAGTTGCTCAAGCAGCCACCACAACCCGAAGAGGATGCTGTTTGACTCAACAGTCCTATGGTTGCTGGTGTCTCAGCGAGGTTTCACACAAATCTTCAAGCACCACGGCGCAAGTGCCATGCTTGGAAAACTAGGTGATCCTGGGCCAGGGTTGATTGATTTGCAGAGGATGCCTTTTCTACTTTCTATCCTTGGCCGAATTGCTCAAAGGTCAAGGTTTGGAGGCTTACTCGGCCTGCACAGCACCGGTTCAAGCCTGCTGTGATGGATTGATCGGTCCCGAAGCTTAAGTTGAAACTTGAGAGCCAAAAGCGTCAGACAAGGCTTTGATGCGATTGGCCAGAGGGCCTATCAGTTTGATGACTTAGGTTTCTAGTGAGGGGTGTGCACACCCCGAGGGCTCCCTCACAAGGACTTTGGACTGTGCTCCTAAAGAATGAACAGCTGGAAGGTCAGCATAATATATAGTTTAACTGATGGTTGAAGGTCCCGCCCTCCTAAAGGACAACGTATGGCCCTAGGGCTCCAAGTACCAAGTACTTTCGTAGTTGGAGCCCTAGAGATTGATCTAGCCGAATCTGAATTTCCGGAAGAACCATGGGCTTTCTGTTTGGGGCCCAACCCCGGCCGGGTCGCGACCCGGTGTTTTCGGACCCGTGGGTCGCGATTCCGGTGTCGCGTCAGGCGGGTCGCGTGCTGCGGCACTTGAGTCTCGCTTGGCGCTCCTTGGTGGAGAAGACCTTTGCCCCTCAGACCGCAGGGAATTCGAAGGGCCGCAGGGACCGAAGACGTGGGCTGCACCCAAAAGCATCCAGAAAAGCCTGGTGAACCAATTGGTTTTCGCTCCAAATCATCGACTGATGCAGTCGACTGGGCGGGCTCTCTCGCGCCCCTCCGCGCCCCGGCTCGGTCGGATGGGCCCTGATGGCTTCGGTGGACGAAGTCCGAAGAGTCTCCCGGTTTGACCGTTGGATCCGGAAGTCAGGGGAGGGGGGCATAACTCGATCTTTCAAGATCACGAACCCCTACCCCTCCTTGTGGTAAACCTCCCTACCCCTCCATGTGTGATACATTGACCACGACTGGCTCACACCACGACCGGCTCTTGTGCGCCAGCGACCGGTCCGGTCGTACTTCGTCCGTGGGTCCCGTTGGGTCGGTCCTGCCTTTGGACGAGACCTCCGCCCGAATGGGGCGGGCGCCCGAGGTGAAGAGCGCGAATGCGGTGGCCAAGTTGGACCTGTCCCAGGACGTGGCCACCGCAACGTGGGTTGGACGTGGGACCCGTGCGGTGCCGTCTTCCCGAGAAAACAGAAGGGAAGAACGCACAGTCGTCGATGCGCGCTCTTCACCGCGGAATGAGGTCGTCATCGCAGAAACAGATACAACTGTTTAATGCACATTTCTTCCGTGTGGCATGGTGTATTCTCCACCCAACCAACATGGGGATGGGTCAAAACCTGACACACTGATCCACCATGTAGCTTGATTGACCTCCCAGTCAGGTCAACTAAGGCACCAAGGTATCCTGGTTTTGACCCACAACCACAGCTCGTTAACGAACTTCTTGTGTCGCCACATGACTTCTTGCCCCATATAATGTCGTGCAAACCCGGGCCAAGTCCATCCAGTCGGGAGGAGCTTTGGGCGAAGCCATTGAAGATGACATTGTTCACCTGGCTCTCCACCATGTCGCCTCAGAACTTGTTGCGCCTCAAGGCTCCGCGCGACGGAGCGGAAAGGACGCGCAGGACGCGTGAAGGTGAGAATTTGATCAATGAGCCAGACATATTCCATGCACATTCCATGCATGGCATACATACACCATCATACACCTCTGTTCAACCACCCCAAAGTATGAACATATTCCAGTCGCAATGGAGTCTTTGGTTAAGTCTTTTTTGCTTTTTCCAATCGGCTCCAGGTGGCAAAGGGCTCAAGATGAGGACAAAAGCATGTGTCCTTCTCATTTGCACCGATTTGCACTGTACCCGGCAACAGCATTGCCAATGGCTTCATTTCGCACTGCTCCCCAGTGCCGTGTTGGTGATGCCACTCAACATACCAAGTTCCGGTTACTATGACATCTTGGTGATGTGATGCACACGTATTTGATGTGCAGTCGCTTACAAGCTGCACATGTAATCACATGTACAGTTGTGTTCTGACCATTAGTACATTTTGAGTCACAATGTTCAGGAGAGTTGATGTTTCCACGGCAATTTTGGATGACATTCAACACATACCAAGCAACCCCCAAGCAACCCCCAGCAACCCCCACACAAAAACACAGCAAGAAAACGAGAGTCTAAAGCAATTCTCAAGCACTACTTTGGTCGCCTCGCGAAACATTCCGACACGAAGCCATCGCCTGTTTACCCTTTATACCCTAGGGCCCTAGGGCGGGCCCCAACCATTTCCTTTTTATTCCTTTTTATTGGTGGAGGACGGTGCTTAGACCATGCTTCAGATGCTTCATGCTTAGACCCCTCAAACCTACCCCCAGGCCCCTCGGAGTCTTCACCGCTAGGCCATCGCCGTCATGGAGCTCCTGGACGAAGGAGTGGTCAGTGGTGATGTCGGTGAGTCTTCACCGCTGCGGGCGTGGAAGTTGGATGTGGTGCAAGAAAAACCATCCCTGACAATCCAATCATGTACTATTCACATACTCCTGTGTTTGGATGAAAATAGGGAATGTTGATCACTTCTGGGTAGTTTTGATGTCCGAAGGTCCAAACCCTCCGTTTTTCTGTGGTTCCGGATGGATGGATACTGTACATGTGAAAAAAGAACATGTAAAGAACCGCATCGAGTTTCTGATGAAGACATAAATCCCAATACCCGCGAAGATGATCCCGGCAAGAGACCCCAAACAGTGTGGCCCAAACGAGGTCTAGAGCTTCAAGGTCTAGAGGTGTAGAAGCAGAAGGTCTAGGCATCTAGACGTATTGGGCTCAAGAGAGATCTGGATATATATATATATATATATAGAGGTCGAGAGATCCAGAGGTCTAGAGGTCTGGTTTTGAGATCCAGAAAGATGAGATTTGGAGATCCAGGGCAGGTCTTGAGATCCAGAGATATCAAGAGAGGCATAGAAACCTAGTACAGGTTTCATGGTGCAGAGATCTAGACTTGAGAGGTCTAGACGGTCTAGACCTCTAGAGGTCTTGAGATCCAGTTCTAGATGTCTACAGAGATCTAGCATCTCGAAACGTCTAAAGGCCTAGGCGGCCTAGGCTTAGGTATCAGAGTTCTATAAAGATGCGGCCGTGAAATCCAGAGAGGTCTAGAAGTCTAGAGAAAGATCTACATCGTCGAGAGATCCACAAAAATCTAGAGTCCCAGAGGCCTAGAGGTCTGGAGGTGTAGAGATTTTAGATCGAGAGATCAAGAGCTTTGGAGGTCTACAGGACAAGGGTTCTTGAGATCCAGAGAGATCCAGAGTTTGAGAGGTCTAAAGTCTAAAGGTCTTGAGATTGAGAGAGATCTAGAGGCCTTGAAATCCAAAGAGATCTAGAGGCCTGGAGTTCTAGAGGTCTAGAAAGATGAACACTAAGATTTCAAGAGACTGTTCCAGGCTTGGGAGGCAACTCGACATCACTTCAAGGAGTCGGAACGCATGGTATGAGTCAGACACGACATGTCTATGACTGCCGGACTGCCGATCAGTTGGGGTGGTTGAAAAGGGGTCAATGGAGTGTTTGGGCTATAATACGGGCCACTCGCCTATCAGCATTGCGTTGACTCGTTGTTGTCCTGAACCCACGGCTTGCCACCGCATAAATACATAAGGGATTCAAAGCTGGGCATAGAATCCTGATTCTACTTCATGCATCTTCATGCATCTTCATCATACCCCCCCGCACTTGTGACCGCTTCTCATCGGTGTCCGAATGTCAGACCTTCGTTAATACCCGTACTTACTGGTACCACTAGTGTCTGGTACTTACTGTGTCCCTCCATTTTCACTTTTGCCAGCCGTGGCCGTGGCGACACTCGCAGGTGAGGCGATGCGGAGCTACCTGCAGCGGTGTTTGGAGGATCGACACCATCTCGTGCTGCTTGGGCCATCGATCCTGAAGACCGTTCGACAACGTCGTGACGTGCCACGTGACGTGCCGGTCACGCACACGACTTGTTGTTGTGTGTTTTAATTCCCAGACACTCCATGTATTACACCATGGGACTGCCATAGGACTGCCAATCAGTTCGGGTGGTTGAAAAGGGGTCAATGTATGTAAATATAGCATACATGGAGTGTTTAGGATTTCTTTTGGGGGGAGGACGTGGGAGAACTCCTTCCCCCCAACGGACAGTCAAACTTTACTGGACGAACAAACAATTCCCACATTTTTTCTGACTAGTCAGTCACACCAGTCGATTCCTCGATCCTTGGGGTTTTTTCTGCACCTATGATTCTGTGATATTTGTGGGGTAGAAATTGGTTTCTTTCAGGTGCTTTGCTGTACTTTGCTCCATGTATGCTCCATGTATTCTCCGCCCCAGGTATTCTCGGCATTTGCAAATGGTGGAGTTGCATGTGCACTTGTTGTACCCCAACTTGTGGAACTCCTTGTCCGAGGAGGCCCGGCCGGTCTGCATTTCAGCAGCGAATGGGACAGATGAAACCGGCGCCAAAAGTGGTGAGTGTTCTCAAAGAGCTCCAAATCACGAAAGGTAGCCCTTTAGGGGATACCTTGAGTTTGTCTTGCGAAGCAAGTGTCGGCTCTTCCGGGTCGAAATTGATTGCTCAATTCACCCCCCCCCCCTTGGAATTGATTTCTCAATACAGACCCCCCCCCTCCCCCCGACAAAATCAATTCTCTCCTGGAGAACTTCTTCGTGAGCCTCTCATGATTTCAGGATAGTTGAAACCCTCTTGAACATTCAGAAAGAGTGCATATGAAATTCTAATCACGAAAGGTCTTCCCCGAAGGGATACATACCTAGAGTTTGTTTTGTGAAGCACGTCAATTCTCTCCTGGAACGTCTTCGTGAGCCTCTTATGGTTTCAGGATAGTTCAAATCCTATGATGTTCCGATTCAATGCTCACCGATGATCTGAGCCATGGGGCAAGTTTGTTTTCCTAAGAATCTTTCTGAACATTTCGAGAGCATATGTTTCAACATTTAGAGTGCATATATGAAATTATATTTACGAAAGGTCGCCTCCGAGGGGATAAATCACCATGTCGAACGTTGCATTTTTGTTCCTGCCTCTCGCGTTCTCTTCTCTTCCCGCTGTCCTACCTTTCGTGTCTCCCTCCTCTCAAGTAGCTTTTCACAGCCCTGAGCCCAAGTTGGACATCCTGCAGCACTCCGACCAAATCACATGGGCAGTTTCACCACAAATTGAAGCGAACTGATTCATCCAATTTCATCTCCCGACGCAGGACCCTCGCCTATACTAGACTGGGACTGGCAGCCTTTCCATTGCCCAACTGATTGGCACAGGATGGTTGTTTTTTTTTGTTGTCTGATGGGGTAGCTTTGGTGTTTTCCTTCGTCACACCCTCAGGTGAGGCTTTTTCTGGAAGAGATCCGGGAAGCAGCCAATGCCAGCCGAGAGGACCCCATCGAGTTGATGGTGTTTGGGGCTCCACCTCCGGACGAAATTAGTGTTTGCGGTCCAAATTGGAGGAAATTGGATGGTTGGGTGTGTCCCATGACCAGTCGGTAAACAATTCACTGTTATGTCGGCCTACAACCTAACCATCATCCACTGTTACAGGGAATGGAATATACCCAATGGCTGGTCCTGATACGTCCTGCGTGTCGATCTCGTCCAAGATGTTGGGCCATGTCATGGTCGCTTGGTGTCGCAGAATGAGAACCCAGACCTCCATAATGTGTGATGTATGCCTAGGGTCTGGCCTATTACCTGTAACAGTCAGTAAACAATTATCACTATTTTCGAAAAGGCCTTTACTAACCATCATCATCCACTGTTTAGGATAGACCCAATGTATGCCTACAGTTGAGCTTTTCAACCACCCCAAGTACTGGTAGCTACTGTTATAAATATACCTATCAGTCCCATGGAGTGTTTGCACAACGGACAAGCTAGCTGGGAACCTCCTCCACCTTCCGGGATGTTCACGGATTCTGCGCGTTTGGACCCGGGATGTTCGGTGGCAAGGTCGATAGGCCGAAGACACTCAAAAGAGGGCTATAAACGAATCCAGTTTCAGGTTGGGAATTACAGGTGGCTCTTGAAGGCCTAGAACACCTCAACATATTGCCTTAAGATGCCTTAAGCCCTCACCACCGGTAAGTTCAACGCCGGGAGAAACACAAAAACGCAGCATGGGAAAAGGCGGCAAGGCGCAGCATGAGAGAACGGTTTCTCCTAGGCCAGGCGGCATGATGTGTCTTTTGATTGATTCCCAACTTGGATGCTTTTTCTTCCTCCTTTTATGGTGCTTTTCTTGGGGAGTCTGGAGGTTTGGACGGACCTTCACTTGAAGTGAGGGGGGAAGTAGGACGAACTCCACTCCCGTAAATATCTCCAACATTCTACTTACCCAGACATACCCAGACCATCCATGTAAAGTTACATACACTTCGCTCATTGATCACCCATCCATGTGGTTGTAACGCGTTGTAACCCTTCCAGTCCCATTCATTTGGTCCGACAGCAGGACTCTCACTCCGACGACGATGACTTGCCCGCGACCGAGCTGGTCCGGCAGTTCGATCGGCAGCGCTTCAACTCGGAGCTTCATCAGGAGGGGGAATGGGTCTCCTGGTCAACTGGTTTTCTAGGCCATGGTTGGGGGGCTCCTGGAGATTCCCGTAGCATGCCCATTTCTAGGTCTCCGGAAGTTTTTCCCTAGTGATTCACGTAGCTCTGAGAAGGTGATTGGAGACTGTTATGTATAAGTGCCAGGAGGGTCCAAGTACCTTCTGATAGGGTATTTGGATCCCTACATTATATGCCCTGATTCTTTTTTTGGGGGGACCTGCAGAAGGGCTCAACCAGGGGATTCTTCACAGAGATGGCCCTTGTAGCACTGAGGTTTCAGAGGCAAACCCCAAGAACTGACCATCTTGGCAGGAGGTGAGCCGCATGCTGAGCTCTATGGGCCTTCAGCATCGGAACAAGCTCTCAGCAGGGCCCATGGTGCTGGATATTCACCTGGCTGAGATGTGTCCTTTGGACTGATCGGTTGGGGATCCTGATCGCTTGGTCCATAGGGTCCATGTTCCTTTGCTTTTTGTCTTTTGCGTGCTTTTAGAGGAAACGGTTGATTGGGGTGACAGAACGGAGCTATCAATCTAAGGGCTTCCCCCAACCTCAGAAGTTGCCGCGATGATGTTGGTCATCCCAAGTCCTGGGATGTTGAAGACCATGATGTCCTAGGATTCCAACCGCCATTGATTTAACATTTTAGCCTTACCAAGTAACCAGTGTTTCACAAAGGGTATTTTGCATGACAAAACAAGGTCAACCATTTGTTTCAGGGTCTTGGAAGGCCAGGGTATCCCTCACCAGCACTCACCAGCGAAGCAAACCATCACAATGATTTTCACCTCCGCTCGCTCACTACGATGCGCAAGCCCCCGGGCCCCTAGACTGATTAAAGTCAGGACCGGGCATAGTGATTACCACGTCCCTCTCATTCTTTTGATTCCGCCAGGAGTCAAAACGACAAACGCCACCAACTCCTGTGGACGATTGCTGGTGCCATGTGCTCACAAAAGTGCGTCAGACGAACGCACGACCGCCATCGATTTACGCCGCTTGATGGGATCCCTTGTTACCCGCGTGTGCGGGGAAATCGTATCCATTCTTGCGAATCCTACAGACATTACATTGGGATTCGGCCGACCTGCCGGGGGCCTTCTGCCAGGGGCCTGGCCTGCCAGTCTCACGTATGTCTCTCACCCTCGAGGCATCGTGGAAGCCGCGCCTGCGTGGCAATACTATCTGCGCTCCTCGCATCTCACGGCCCTGGCGCGACGGCGCCAGGAGATGCTCCAGGCCGCCCTGAACTCCGCGACGTCTCGACCGGGTCACGGCGGGACGACGGATCAAAGGGCCCAGGCGGAGCGAGGTGAAAGACCAAGGTTATTATCGTAGGTAGGTCCAGGGTATTTTTCCTGGTGACCCACAGCGTCCCCCGGATTTGTTTGGTGTTCATGTGTTCATGATCTGTCAGACATGGTCAAATCATGTCACATCCACAAGTCGAAGTGACAGTGGACCGTGTTTGTTTCAATTTAGTCGACGCCAGCAGTTTCTCGACGATCTTCACATCGAGATCCTTTGAAGGATCTCACACCATGATTTTTACACTCTGACGAACACGTCACATGGAATTGGAAAATCCATACCCGTGAACATTTCCCCTACAAAATGGGTGACCTCGAGGCCACTATAAAAAGTAAATTCTGTATAGAGGGGGTCCCCTGGAGACCCCCCGAAACACTGTCATTTTGTAGTAAATCAATGGTTTGGAGAGATGATATAGTTTTTTATTTTTTGGTTTGGGCCAGAAGAACAGTCATTTTGCAGAGATTTTTATTCTTCCTGATTAGTCAAGTATGTTAAGTATGTGTAGGGTTGTGTGAACACAATCTGTAGTGATTCAACAAGAGTAGGGGAAGCATTTTGTGGTGAGCATCTTTGTCTAAGAAATCTATACATTTTTCTTGGCTTCTCATTTTGTAGTAGACAGTCATGATCATCCTAACATGATTTTGTCCGCTATGTATCAGTTCATTGCTTTTGTGAAACTGCATGGCACTTCATTTTGTAGTATTTTTTTTTATTATCAATGCCTTGTCATTTTGTAGTGTTTTGGTGTGAAGACCGATCATTCTATAGTGTTTTCTGCATGCCCCAGAGATTGTAGCTATAGAATGGGGTGCACGACCCCTCCTATGGAATATGAACGGGTATGAAAATCCCCTGTTTGTAAAGGAAAGTCGTCTTCATTTCGGGACCATGCCATCCACTTCCACCGTGTGATGTGTTCGTCGTGGTTTGGTTAGAACGTCCCGAACCTTCAAACCACTCTGGCGATCCCCCGATCTCTGTGCGAGCCCCTCGCTCCGGGGCTCGGCGGTGGGCGTACACTATCCGCCCAAGGCCATGGGCTTCCAGGTGATCGTCATCCCACACTTCGAGTGGTTTCAGCTGGAGTCTCCCGATGCTCAGCGTGAGTTCCTGCGGCAACGCTTGCCCAAAGAGGCACCGCAAGAGGTGGTTCTTTCGCTTTTGGATCGTGGTCCGGCGCAGCAGGGCGGTGGCACACAGCAGGGCAGGGCATGAAAAGCACGTTTGGTGACCGCTTTTCGCGGCTTTTCGTTTGTGATAGAATCATGCATCACCACCGTGTGCCCAGAGCCTGATGCCGCATTCCCCAGGACCGAAGAGCGAATGACAGACCAACAGCGTGTCGACTCGAACGTTGGCTGTGCAGGATCATGGTTTTAGGATGGTCTATTTGTTGGGTCTGTCAAGACGGCCTGTAACAGTCAGTAAACAATGATCACAATCTTGGAACAGGGCCTTTACTAACCACCATCATCCACTATTAGTGGTAATGGCATAGAGGATAGACCATGATAGACCTAATTGTCCCAATCTATTTGTATCATTCTGTATTATCTACAGATGCAAAGGGATTGATTCTCCCAAAAAGGCCTAGAGGCCATGGGTTCAGTGGAGTCGCAGCAACAATGTAACAACCCTCGGCCACCCGGTTAGCCAGTCCCAGCAACTGTCCAACTTAAACATCACCGTGGACTGTCCCAGTGCAAGGCACCTAGCATGTCATTACCATCTTGCATAATATTATATCATTATATATATATACGTTATAGACCAATAGGCAGACACAACAATAGGCAGACACAACAATAATCGCAATAATATATACCAATAGGCA